CGGTCAGGGTGGCTAGGGTCTGGAACCAACTTCCAAGAGAGGTGGTGCAGGCTCCTACCCTGGGGGTTTTTAAGAGGAGGTTAGATGAACACCTTGCTGGGGTCGTTTGACCCCAGTACTCTTTCCTGCCATGGCAGGGGGTTGGACTAGATGATCTGCTCAGGTCCCTTCCGACCCTAGAAACTATGAAACTATGAAACTATAAATGGGGGGGAGTGGAAGGGGGGGGGCTGCCACCTACACAAGGACATTCTTGGCTCCCTGGAATATTTGGCAACTTTTGACTGCAGTCAAGTAATTGCTCGTCAAATGACCAGGTATTGACTTTATTTCACAAGTAAATTGACTGGCTTGCCCACACTTGTATGTATAGAATTATATCAATGACACCAAGAAGGGGATAGGAAGCTGGTCTCCACTTTTAATATGTGGATTGTAGCATTGTTCCCTATATGCTGCCTGTAAAAATAATACTGCGACTCCATTCCATTGAGTAGGTGTGACATGGGGGAGTCTCCATTCTTAAGCTGCTAGTTGCCAGAGTAGTAAGCATAAGAATCTCTCCAGCTCAAATGAAGTCACAGATACACAGAAAGTTACTCTGTGCTTGCCCTTGTGAAAGGTCAATGTACAGGTAATAAAGCTAGCACGAGTAGTCATTAGCCAAAGACATAGAAGAGGCAGAATGTGCACACCACAGCTGCTTCAGGATTTTAACCGTCACCATACGCAGGATGTGAAGACCTTAGAGACAAGTAAGCTCTAGGGGCAGAGAATGTATTGTGTATCTTCCTGTAGATATGGACACCACTACCATGTTGTGTGACACTACTAAAATACATATAGATGACAATAATTGGGCTCTGCAGCTCAGAACAGTATTTTTAAGTATCATTAAAACCATATTTCTGTCAAGCCTTACTTAACCTTCAAAAAATCTTAATCAATATTAAACAAGTTGACAGTAGGCCAGACCCTTAGCTGGTGAAAACTGACTGTAGTGGCTAAGAATGGGCCTCCCATCATGTTAATAAATCTAAACATAAAGTGGATTTCACAGCTGTTTTATGGTTTTACCAACTTATTATTAGTGTAAGTCTTTTCCGGGCATGTTCTGGTCACCCAGGTGTGTTTACTTGGTGTCATCTTTGTGGCCAGTTGTGTGGCCCCTTTCCCCACATCAGTTCTATCACCAGTTAAATGAGGTCTGTTCAGAAGCAGTTGGATCTCATTCAGGCTATCTCTTGGGAGAGATGGAGATAAGTGCTAAGGAGAGCACTCAGATCTACTCCAAACTGCTCCAGGCTACTCCCAGAGATTTACTGTGATATGTCTGAGCAAAGGTGAGTATTCAGGGTTTCTTTGTCAGCTTCTTTCATGTCCTAGGGTCTTCAGAGAATCCATATAGCCCAGTTCAGGAAAGTGGTTAAACAAGTGTCTAATTTTAAGCTTATGGTTAGTCCTATTGAAACTGATAGTACTCAATGACTCTGCCTTACTGAGTCGGGGGGATGAAAGACTGGTTTTTAAAACTGCTGGATGACTTAATCCTTCAATATTTAATTTTCCAGGTTAACAGCGATGTCGTTTACTCCAAAGCAATGAAAAACGGGACACGAGTGATTGAACAAATTGACACAACCCATATTGGGAAATTAATCGTGACCAAGGATATTGGTAGTGATGGAATGAAGGATATTACTGAGCAGTACAAATTCCGAGAAGGTAAACTACTGTACACAACAAAATGGAGTGTAGAAAAGATTTAAGTAGATTTATCTTAAGATTTCTCTCTCTTGTTGTTGGTCTGTATGCCTCCATCATGAGGTGAGCTGTTTGAGAAGCTGCTACCCTGTTAGCAAAGTCTTGTGCCTCTTAATTCCACCCCAAATGCATTGCAGATCCTTTTGCAAAAAACATACATTTTTCCTGTTACTTAGAAATACCTTACACTGATGTTGCTATATCTTATAGCAAAGTGTAATAATTGATTTAACTTACTTCTTTCAAAAAGTATCTCTACATTTATACAGTTGGGTAAGCCATTATATTCCTTGATTGGATGCCTGGAAAACTGAGGTCCAGTTGTTCCATTGGTGTTAATGGAGTTGTAGTGATTTACACCAATTAAGGAGTCATTCTTAGGCCAGCTGATTCAGGGATTGTGAAGTTTTCCGTTATGCATTACTTATTCATTTCAATTACATAATTAATGCCACTTCTGTACCACTTTGTTACAACTCCATCTGTTTGTCCCAAACATAAATATGTGGTGTTGATCAGGGTGCTTGGTGTAAGTTGTCATTGAAAAATGTATGTGTCTGGAAGTGGGGATTTTAAAGGTTGACTTTTCATCAACCACTATATAAAGCATAACTTAACTTAAGTGACAGTAATTTCCCATAGACCTCCTTCCTAACGAAGTTTTTCCTAGTAATAATCTTTTCTTTTAAAAAATGGTAACATAGAATAATCCCATAGAAATCATAGAGCCCTCCCACTCTGAGACTGTTTGTTTTTTGCAGCAAGTAGGAATCAAGACCACATAGCTCTTATCCTTGTGTAGAACCAGGCATACTCAGGGCCCCCCTTATATGACAAGGAAAGGTGTATACTTAAACAGTTGACTTGAGGGGGAAAAAAGGTGATCTTCAATGGAAGCAAAAATTTAGTTTTTTATTTTGGTTTCAATCTTCCACTTCTTCTTTTGACTTTGTAGTTTCATAGATGTAGGGTTGGAAGGGACCTTGTAGATCTTTTAGTCCAACCCCCTGCCCTGGGCAGGAGAGAAATGGGCTCAAATGACCCCAGCCAGGTAAACATCGAGCCTCCTCTTGAAGACCCCCAGGATAGGAGCCAGCACCACTTCTCTTGAAAGTTGGTTCCAGATCCTAGCTGCCCTGACAGTGAAGTA